TGCATGTCTGCCCTAAGTGGGGAAGGGAGAAGGGAGGGAGGGAAAAAAAAGCAGAGAGATGGAGGAAGGATAAAGGGGACAGGAGGAGGGATGGGGAAAGGGAGGCCAAGCCTGAGTGGGATGAGGGATGCCAGGGGTAAGGAGGCATGTAGGTGTCGAGAGCAAGAGGTGCAGTGCCAGGAGGACTGGGGGTAAGGGTTTGTGGTAAAGGTTGGAAGGGGTGTGAGGAAAAAGAGTGAAGAGGGATGGGAAATGGGAAAGGGTCAAGAGGAGTGGTGCAGGGACGGGGGAAGGGAGGAATAACTATTGTGAAAAGTGGGGGTAGGAGGGGTATAGGTGTAGGTGTAGGTGTCAAGACTAGAGAGTGAGATGTAGGAAGTAGTTTGGATTTAAACAAGGCATGTGGCCCACTGGCTGTGAGTTTGACATGCTTGGCTAGGGTGATCTTCAAGTAGAAGATTGGGAAGGTTGTGGGGTCACTGGTATGTGGATGCGAGGTGTTGAGTGTGAATGAAAATTTAAGAGGAATATGAGGTGTAATAGTGGGGGGTCAAGACTGGGTCAGAGGGCATAGAGAGGCATGGGTAGCATGGGGCAACTTTCCCAGTCCCTTGTTTGACCCACCATATGGGTCCTGTCTGAGCTATAAACATTCTCTTTTCTGTCCTTGCACCTTCTAAAAAACCTAAGGCTCAAGTTCCTGGGCAGTAGGCTTTTGTGAATCTGGAGGCCCCTCCCCAGAGGAGGCTTTGCCATGGACCCCAGGAGGCAGCTTCTTGACTGCCGCCCCCTTCCCCCACGTCCAAACAGGGACCAGGGCTCCTCCTCTGCCCACAAGAATCCTGAATTGGGGAGGCTGACTGGGGGCACTGCTCTCGGCCGGTGAGCTTGGAACTCCAGCACTTGGCCAGAGCCCTGAGCAACCTGTTCTCAGCACCAGCGTTAGTCCAGAAGTCTTGCTTGGCACTTCAGAGGAGAGAGGAAGGCAGCGAGGCAGAAACAGCTGCCAGCCAGAGTGGAGGAAGAGCAGAACCTCAACGAGTATGGACAGAAGGCAAGACACTGGATCTGGCAGACACTCCCTACTTTGTGTGGGTGTTAGGCTTCCTGTCCCAGCCCTTCCCATTTAGTGCTGGTATTCATGGGAGCAGGCTGGGCTCATGGGCTTTGACTCTGGGCTGAAAGAGACCTCAGAGGTCACTTAGTCCAACTCTCCCCATAATCTGGAATTAGATTTATCTCCGCAGCATTTGTTCCTGGGGTCTGCCTGAATTAGGCTAGGCATTTCCTGGAGAATAGGAGCTCACCTCCCCCTAAGGCAGTCTGGTCCCTCTTTGGAAGAAAAAATACCTGTTAACTGAGCAACTCTGCTGTGCATAGGTACTTCTGTGTATGTGGACTTCTCATTAATAATGACCTCACAGGGTTGAGGTTCATTTTACAGATGAGAAAAGTGAGGCTTTGAGTGGAAAAAAAGTCCCTAGCTCAAGGTCACATAGATAATAAATGGAAGAGCAGGGTCTGAACCCAGGACTTTCTAACTATTAAGTGCCCCTGGGGCTAAGGAGGACATGCCTATTATTTTGCACCATGACTATTCTTCAGAGGTCTGGAAGCAGAAACCACAGCCTTCTGAGTGTCTTCTTCTCCAGGTGAAACAGCTTCTTCAACTCTGTCCAGGAAAATCTGGGTTCCAGCCTCCTCCAGACCTGCTCAGTGTATGACCCAGAACCAAACACATGGTCTTTCAGGTGGGTTTGGGCCAGTTCAGAGCAGAGTAGAACTATCACATCCTCCCTTGGAACTAACCTTTACTGTTGTGGTCCAATGACTGGTAAAGCTGAGAACTATCCTTCTCTTGAGTTTCAAGCCCTTTTGGGATAAGAACTACGAGAGAAGAGGCCAAAGATTTGTTCCTATCTCCACCAGTCCCCTTAACCTCTGAATTAGATAAGGGAAGGGCAGAGGTGGGGAAGAGGCCATCAAAACCAGGCAGGGGCATGGCAGGGCTGGGAGGATGGAAAGCTGAGGGAAGTGAGGTGGTTGTCCAATAACCCTAGGCAGGGCCAGGAGGGCCAAGGAGATGAGGAGGTAAGTGTTTTGGGGTAGGCATAAGGAGATTAGGGGAGTGGAGACGCCAGAGTGGGGATAGGCATGGCCTGCCTCAGTTAACATCGCCCTGCTGTGTGAGAGAAAGTAAGTCTCACATTAAGAAAATGTTGCAACTGGTACTAAATTGGGAGGTGTCACAGGCAGCAGCAGTGAGAACAGGTATGATTTGTGGGGCCCTATGGGGCGCAAAACAGGGGCAGACATTGCAAAGGGAGAGAACAGGGTTTCTGGGGTTTCCCAGGAAAGAGCTGACTGAGACACTTAAGACAGGGTCCCAGGGATGGGGGTCACCTGGCCCTGAAGCAGGTTCAGACTTGGCTTCCAGAAGTAGAGGAAGCCCCCTCATTCTGGCCTGGGGCTGTGAGCCCTCCATCCAGGAGAAGCTTTAAGGATGGTCATCATCTCCAAGGGATCCCATTTGGGGTAGGAGCTGAACACGTAGGCTCAGAGCCTGGGGGTAGGATCAGGGATCGGCAGAAAAGACCTGGGATACAAGTGGTGTAATAGGGTGAAGAGAGAGGGGCTGCGGGAAAGAGGAGAGAGGGATGTCTTTTCCCTTAGTGCCCATAATACAGCTGGAATCAAGAGCCCTGTAGGTCTAGGCCTCAGCTGAGGGAAAGAGCACTAGAGAGGGGTGGGAAAGACAGGAAGAAAGCTATAGAGCTGGCACTGCCCTTCTGCTGGCATAGCAGGCAGCAAGAGAGCAGGCAGAGTTCGTTTGAGAGGGAGAGCGAGAGAGGGAAAGCTATAGTGACAGACAAGGAGACATAGCAGAGGAGGGAGCACCCTGGCCACTGGGAACTTGATGGGAGACACTGGAAAACACATGGGCTTTGCTACAGAGCATGTGAGTTGGAGGCCTGGCACTCCTGTACCTCAGTGTCCTCATCTGTGAAATGGAGATAATGGTGCTGGTATAACCAGTCTCTTTGGGAAGTTGTGATCTCATAATATATGGGAGAACAATGTTGGATGTTCTATTATTATTTTAAAATACCATCAGCTACCTCTCTTCCTACTTGAATCTCACACAAAAGACTCAGAATGTGGGCAGAATAAGGACTATTATCCCTGTTTTATAACTGAGCAAATGAAAGCTTAAAGTGAAATGACATGCCCAAGGTCATTCTGTTAACAAGTGGTAGAGGCTGATAAGGCCTAAATCCTGGAGATCAGTGGTCTTTCTCCTATACCAAACTGCCTGGTAAAAATAACCAACATGAGTGATTTTTATTTACTGTGGGATCAGACACAGCTGGAAGCCAACTATAACAGGGGAAAACCTATGGAAAAGTTGTGGCATGGTCTCTCATTCATCCTGGTGATTGAAGAAAAGGAAAAGTTGGGGCCACGGAATTGAATTGAGGGCCACAAAAGACACACATTCTATATTCCTTCTACTATTGGATCATGTCCATCTATTCCCATTGAGTGTATATATGTGTCTCTATCTCTTTACGACAAAATGTGTCCTTCTTCATGTGACAGGCCTTCTGCCTTTGTGTCTCTAACATGGTGGGGAGATGTATGTGTAGGTGTCTGCTTCCATGGCACTGTTTGGTGTGACAATCTCTCTATATCTGTGTGACTTTTCCCAGGGTAGTGGTGGTGGTTTATGATTGTGTGTGTGTGTGTGTGTGTGTGTGTGTGTGTGTGTGTACACCTTTAAGAAATGAAATATCTCATTTGGTAGTGTGAGTGAGGCAGTGAGTCAGCTGAGGCTGAGGGAGGCGGGAGAAAGGCAGGTAGGTTACGAGAAAAGGGAAAAGGAGAATGAGAAAGTGAAGTCAGAAGCGAGAAGCTACCCCTTACCTACCCAACCATATAAGGTGCCCACCAAGAGCATGGAATTCTACTGAAGTATACGGGGGTCACACTGGATGGAAAGGGGCACTTTCTGCTCCTCTCTAAAGCCTTGATGGGAGACAAGCTAGTCTAGGAGGCAACCATCCCCCTTTCCAGCTCCCAATATCTCCCCCATTTCCCCCACCCAGTCCCTGCTTGAGGATGGGTGAGGCCACCAGCCCACCCTATCTCCTTGTCACTTGACCCTTTGACCTTGCTGTTCTCTTTCCTCCCAAAGGCAGGCCACCTGGCCAAGCTGAGCCAGCAAGGCAGTAGCATGATGTCACAAATGTGTCCAGTCCCATACACCTACTGCCCAGAACTATCCTGCTGAGGGTCAAGAAGTTTCTCAACTCAGCTCTGTCCTAGGCAGGCCCGTTCTGCAGCAGCATCGCCTCTACTCTGGATTCCTGTTCCCATAAGCCAGAAAGCCAGCTGTCCTCCCACTGCCACTCCAGGGTGCTGGGAAAGCACTGGGAGCTTGTGCTCTGTTCCCAGCTCCTTTTGTCAGGGAAGAGTTGTTGGCAAGGAGCTTCTCCTTGGGAGATGACAGGCTCCACCTATCTAGGTTCTGACCGGCCACCTCAGGTCACATAAGGTCAACAGTGTAGTGTGCCCCACAATCAGGGGTGCCCCTCCTCTAGCCCATTTCCGGGACCAAAGGATGAGGGCTAGGCTTCTTTCCGCCTTTGGCCTTCCCCAGCACCAGCCACTCCCAAGACTTTCAGCCTAGGAAAGAGGGTACCTATGGCTGAAGATGGAGGCCAGATCCCTCTTTTCACCCCTTTGCCAGCCAAGGGCCCCAAGATCCCTCCCTCCTCAAGCGGGGTGGGGCGCCAGGAGGCCCCAGTCAGACTATGCCCAAATCTGGAATGAATAGAAGTTGGCCAGGTGGTGACCTGACCTGGGTGGGTTCCAAAGCAGCGCTCAAATGGTGGGGGTATTGGGAGAAGGTGTGGTGGGCAGAGGGGGAGACCTTTTTTTTTTTCCCTTGGGACCACCACCACTACTTCCGCCTCGTGGCCACCGATGCCAGTCCCTACCTTACAGCCTTTTGTGCAGGACCGGATTGAGTACTCTTCCGCCTGTAAGTATTTATGCAGCACGAGGTCGAACTCGTCATATTTTTCCTGAGCATGTCGGTCGAGCCGCTGGTATGCCTCAATACAGTTGCTACACACCTCCCAGGCCCCGGAGCCCGGGCTGGCCACCACGGCCAGCAGGTCCCCCAGCAGGGTGTCCAGGCTGCAGTCCAGGCTGTCGGGGCGGTCCATGCCCAGCAGCAAGTCCCAGACCGTGTAGGTGTCGCAAAAGGAGAGAGTGAAGTTCCGAAAGTGGCCTTTGAGCAAGTTTTTTTGGGCGGAGGGGAACTCGGCCGGAGCACGGGAAGGGGAATCGGGGGGCCGCAGAGGTGGGGCTGGGGTAGTCGGTTCGAAAAGTCTCTGCAAAGATTGCAATTTGGTGCAAGCTGCATCCAGCCCCGTGGGCTCTGGGATGCCGCCGCAGTCCAGCCCGGGACCGGCGGCGGGAGCGGCTTTGGTCAGATTGCCGGATCTGGGACCGCAGGTGCCCGGGGGCGCACTGGGCTCGCCGGACGGCGGCGGCAGCGGCGGCACCGCACGAGGAGGCACCGGCTGCCGCTCACGGTTGGTCCCCCAGGGTGGCCGCATGGCGCTGCTCAGCTCCCTGGCCCGGGGCCGGGCCCCTGCGCACAGCCACAGATGGTCAGCGAGGAGCACGGTGAAGAAGAGCAGGGACGCCAGGGACAGTCGCCATCGCTGCGCCCGCTCGGAGTCGGCGCAAGGTTTGTCGCTCGGCCTGGGAGCCCAGCAGCAGCAGCAGCAGATAGTCAGCGCGGCGGCGTCTTTTCCGGGCCACATCCAAGCGCCCCTGAACATATTTCAGGGGGGTCCGGGCCGGAGAAAGCAGGCGGGCGCGAGGCCGTCTCCGGCGAGCGAGCGGGCTGCCCGCCGCTCCGCGTTCCTCGGCGCCGTCCAGGTTCTACCTCGGGGGCCGCATGGCGAGGCAGGCCGGCCCCGGGCCCCACTCAGGCCGGAGTCGCGGAGCGCTCTCGCGTCGTCCCCGCGCCCCTCCCGCACTCCCTCGCTCGGAGCCCGGGCGCGGCCGCCCGGCCCGCTAGGCGCTGCCCGGCGTCCCGGCGGGGGGCGGTGCGGGGCGCTGGGGCGGTGGCGGCTGCGGCGGCAGCGCCGCGCTCTTCATACTGTCGGGCCCCTCAGCTGCCCTCCGCTCCGAGACACTCCGCTCGGCGCCGGTGGCCGCCCTCCTGGCACTCCGCTCCGGCCGTCTTGGCGGGGTTCGGCGCACCTCTGCGCCCCTCAGCGCCGCCCGCGGGCCCTGCCGCCGCTCCGCTCCGCTCGCTCGCCCAGCGCCGCTCGACTCCCGCCCGTCCGCCCGCCCGCGCCGCTCCCTGCCTCTCGCGCTTCTTTCTCGCTCCGGCCGTTCGCCGGGGCCGGTGCGGGGCCGGCTCCGCTCGGGCTCCTCGCCGACCGCTCCGGGAGTTCCGGCTCGGGCGGGCCACCTGGCTCCGGCTGCGCGGCGGGCGCCGGACGCGGACGCGGACGCCGGGCTTCACTTGGTGCGCTCCTCGCTTCCGCTTCTCGTTCGCCCCGCTGAGGCGGCCGCAGGGCGGCACGGCCCGTGGCTCCCGCTGGCCATGCCCCCTCAGTCTGTCGCCATCTTCCGCTGTGAGAACACCTTGAGAGCCCCCGTGCGAGTGTGTTTGGTGGGGAGCGGGGCGGAGAAAGAGGCACGGAGAGGAGGAGGGAACAGGACCGGGGCCCCGACTGCGCCTGCGCCTGCGGACTCTTTCTTCCCCCCCACCCCCGCCGCCCGCCCCCCCAGCCCCCGCCGGCCACAGTCTTTGCTGTTTGGGGATGTTTCCAGTCCACCCCCCAACTCCATTCACTTCAGCGCCTCCGTTCATCCACCCGCTCCCCGCCTGCACGCACCACACGCTGAGTCCCAGGTCCTGGCGCCCCCCCCCCACGCCGACCCAAGCGCCCTTTCCTCCCCAGGGCGGCTGCTCACTGCCCCCGAGGGTTCGGGGGCTTTCTGGGGGTGATTCTTGGAGGCGGGAGGCATCTCCGTAGCATCTCGCTGCCTCCCCTGTCCCCGTGACTAGGCGAAGCTGGAGCTGGCTGCGGATCGGACCAGTCCCTTGTCCCTAACTCTGCTGTCCTGCCTGAGGCCAAGGCGGCTCCTGGTGCTGAGTGACAGCTCCCAGCATAGCAGCTGTGCTGGACAGCTTGGAGTGCGTCCTTGAGGGGGCAAGACAGTGGGCTAAGATTAGTGGTGGGGTGTCATTTCTGCCCTCAGTAAGATTTCCAGCAGCCTCTTCCCTGTCTTAGCTTCCTGGCTCCCCCTATAGGCTGCTGAGAATAGCTGAATGATAGTTAGGGAAGCAGTGCCGCCCAGATGGATCCATGTGCTTGGGGCCCTCACAGAGTCACATGGCACTAAGAACTCTGATGAACAAACGTCCTGCTGTGCCACTAACCTTGTTTGGATTTCACCAAATCTCAGCGTGGACCGGTTGTCTACTTCCTTTTCTCACTTCGGCCCACTCCCAGTATCTCCCACATTCTAATTTTTAATCAAGCATTACCAGGAAGGATATGCTAATATTGAAAATAATAACAATAAAAAATACTGTTTATTGCATGTATACTAGGTGTTTGGTTACAGCTCTAGGCACTTTAAAACACATCATTTCATCTAATCTTCATAACTTATGACCACTGTTATCTTCATTTACATATGAGGAAGCTGAGGTTTAGAGTGTTTAAGTTGCCTCAGGTTACACAGCTAGGTAATAACAAATGAAGCCAAGATAGAAACCCAAGCAGTCTGGCTCTAGAGTCTAGAGCTCTCTTAATACTCCAGCAAACCCTGGAAAAAACCAAGGGGTGGAAGATACAGTCTTTCCTGTCATACAGGAAATTATAGTCTATATGAGGAAACAAGGCATATATGCTGGCTAGGGCTTTCCTGGAGACTTGGGTTCTGGTAATAGTTCTACCACTGAACATGCTATGTGCCCTTGAGAGAGTCCTTTTTCTCACTGAATCTTAGTTTTCCACTGAGTAACATGAGGAAATGACAATGGCTAAATAAAATGGATGTGGATCATTAGCACTATTCAGAGGTGGGCCAGGGTGGGTTGGGCAGATGCAGGAAGAGTTTCTGGAAGAGGGAGAGTTTGAGTTGGTTCCTTAAAAAGTAGTGGAATTCACTCTAGCTGGTTTTGTTCAGTGGATAGAGTGTTGGCCTGCAGACTGGAGAGTTCTGGGTTCAATTCTGGTCAAGGGCAAGTACCTTGGTTACAGGCTCTATCCCTGGCCCTGGTCAGAGTGCATTTAGGAGCCCACCAATCGATGTGTCTCTCTCATATCTATGTTTCTCTCTGTGTGTCTCTTTCCCTCCCTCTCACTCTCTCTGAAGATCAATTGTGAATTAGGGATGCAGACATTTTAAAGGAGGCATTGCAATCCATTGAAAGAAGAATGATATAAATGAGAGAGAGGAGAGGGTTTCCTCTCATAGAGGTGGGCATTGCTCAACTCTGTCAGCTTCCCTCAGAGATGATTTTGCACACAGCCACTTGAGTTGAGGGTGGGGCATCCATTCATTTATTTATTCAGCAAATGTCTATTGATGTTATGTTATGGTCCAGATGCTATATTAGGCATCCAAGATATAGAAATGAATAAAATACCTGTCTTGGGTTGAAGAAGCTTAGTTGAATTCTTAAGGGTTGAGTAAGAATTGCCTAGACAATATAGAAGGTGGTGTGTGAAGGATGTCCCAAGCATAGGGAATGTCATGTGTAAAGGCCCAGAAGCCAAGTCAAGAATGGCATGTTCACAAACCTGCAAAGTAATTCATTGTGACTAGTTGTGAAAGGGGAGCACTTTAAAAAATGAGGGTGAGGGTTTAGCAGGAACCAATAACAAAAGGCCCTGGGTGCCATGCTAAGAAGCAGTTTAGACTTTATCCCAAGGGTAATAAGAGCCACAGAAGAGGTTGAAAGGTGTTCGGCAGATTTGTATTTCTAGAAGGTTGATTTGGCTGCAGGATGGAGACTGGATTGGAGTAGGGGGGTGGGGATGGGAGGAGACTTGAGGCAAGAAAACTGGTTAGGAGAGTGGTTAGAGTAGTCCAGGTGAGAGGTGTTAAGGGCTGAACAAAGAATGCAGCATTAGGGGTGGGGAGAGGAAATGCACATGGAGGGAAATGATAGAGATAGAATGGAAAGGACCTAGGATGAGTCTAAATGTAAGACATAAAATAGAGACAGGGCCTGAATAAGGAGGATGAAACCAAAGGGTTTGATTTAGTGACATTGGCACAACTGCCCTTGCCCCTGCCCACCTAGCAACTGTTTCTGGGGTGACTCTTTGTTCTGTTTTTGGAGGGTTCAGGGTTCTGTATAACAAAGAAGGCTAGTCGCTTAGAGATCCCTAGTTCAGAGCTGATAGGCACAGCCACAGTGATTGACAGCCGTGTGTGCCAATGAAAGAGTAGTCTGAAAAGCCTAAGCTATCAGCTCTGAGCACTCAGGCAAGACCCCTTCCTTCTCCCCAGCACACACAGGGCAAAAAGTATCTCAGCAAAGGTCAATTTCTCCCAGGAGCACAATATAGCAACAACTTACCCACACAGTACCTGTTGCACACAAAAGAAAAAGGTAGCACACCAGTGGTCAGAAGCTCTAGATGACACAAGAAATTGGGATGGGGGAAGGGAAAGCATTTGCTCTAGGCTTCAGAAGCAAAATAACCAGGTAGGAATGGGATTGTTGCTCCCCAGAACTGGTGGGTCCTGGCCAGCCTTCTTCCCAGCTCTTTCTCTACACCCACTTCCAAGTCAACAGAAGCTAAAGGCAGAGGATAACGGTGGGTCACTTCCCAGGGCACCCAGAGTGCTCTTAATCCAGGCAGGGGGAAGACTCCTTGGAATATAGGGGAGAAGGGAAGGTTTTCCACAGCGAAATTCTGACAAGAAGAATAAAAAGTGGTAGCCATTTAGAGAGACCAACATAGTTACACATTTGTTAACTTTCTGTTAAGCTCAGATCTTAAAAGGTCACGGGCAAAAGATGGAAACAAGAAATTAAGGATGAATTTAAGAACCTGTAAAAAGAGTGTCAGGATGGCTAAAGCATAGCTTGAACTGATGCTTGTTAGGCTTTGCCAGAACCCACTCTCTGTTCTCCTCCTCCCTTCATAGTTGGAGCAATATTCCCCCAGCTGCATACTGCTGGGGGATTGAAATAACCCCACCCTACGTACTGGAACTCGGCATCAAGTAGTTCCTTTGCCAACAATCTGATTCTGACCTAAAGTTTCCAATAAGCCTCTATCATATTGCGCATTTATGATCCCTGGCCATATGTCTCATGTCCTATGTCTGAGTCCCCCAGTTAGAGATGCTGCCTGACCACCAGTCCCCTGTCAAGGCCTCGACCCAGTCATGCTCTTTTGCTCTATCATCCTGACCCTGACCCTTACCCCGTGACTGAGGCCTGATAGCCTAGTGACTTCTCTGATCCTAACTTTTCATTTGTATTTCTTAATGGCTAAATTCCTGTAGTTATCTTTACTCTCTAATTGGATCCCCAGTTTTCCTATGTTGTAACCCTATTTCAGTTAGGTATACTTTTTTTTTTTGCCACAAAAACAAACAAAAACAAAAAACAGACAACTCTGCAATAGTGTCTTAAGTAGAGGTTTATTTGTCTTATGCAACAAAAATTACCTGGCATGGTCCAGAGCTGATAAGGCAGTTCAATATGTCATCAAGACCCTGGCTTTTCATCTCCACCATTCTGAGAGAAGGCTTTTATCTATTTGCTTTTTGTCTCATGGTCACAAGATAG